CCCCAAAACCCCAAAACCCCAAAACCCCAAAACCCCAGAGGTTTTAATAGGAGTTGATAGTATGTTATTTTTAATTTTTTGAGAGATTAAGAAGATTGATGATTGTTACTTTGCTAAAATTTATTCTAAATCCAGAATTCAGTTGCAATAAACTTTCTTAACTTTGTGATTTTAATATGTTCATCAATTTACGATATTTCTCAAAAGAACTCTAGTACAAAATTAATCACTGGAATAGCTTTAATGCCATGAAATAAGAAGAACCATAATTCATCAAAATCTAACTCCTAAACAATCTCAATCAACATATTTATATCTTCTTACCAACTTTTGAAACTCCTTTCTATACCAAATGTAAATCGACAATTACCTAAACGATCACCCAAGCCCATTCCCCTTCAACATTCAAACTATAAACTAAAAATCCCAAAATCAAATCAAGACTCTTAAATCTCTCTTTCTTACTTATTCCTTCCTTTCTCACATGTTTTCAATACTTTTTCAGCAATCTTGCTCAAGACAATCTAGATTCCTTATAACTACCAATATACGCTATCTAATTCAACACTGGAGCTTTTGGATTTAACTAGAAGTTAAGCAAAATATTACTAAATTGAACAACATCCTCCTCTTTCAATAACAACTCTTTTATTCTATTAACTACCTCTATAGGCTCTGTTTCGTTTTTGGGGTTGCTTTGATCATTTTCCTTTGATGTGAACATTGGGTAATTTTCAGTAAGACCATCAGGATTCTGAGAGGACTTAGTTGATGAATCCTCACTCATTCTATCCAACATCTTTACAACTCGCTCATCCTCAAATATCTTAGAGCCCAAACCATCGACCAACTCATTCATACCCTATAACCCTAATTCTCCCACTCCTACAACTATTTCCTCATCCTTTAGGCTATCCTTTCCCCCACTGTGGTCTATTATAACCGGCTTCTTCCTTTTCTGCTTAGTTTTTCCTAAAATTTACAACTTCTCATACATTTGTTTCTATTATATTTCTTCATGAACTCTTGTGTTGAATCTGCGAGGTTGTTAGATGTAAGAACAGGGAATTTTGAAAGTGTTTGGGCTAAGGGGCGGAAGAGGGTTCAGAGAGAGGTTTTATTGAGGGAAGGGGTTGATGGAGTGGATATTTGGGTGGTTTTTGTTAATTGGTGTGGAGGATTAAGATTTATTTTAGGTGGATGAGATTTTTATTTAACAATATGATATAAGTGAATTAGTAGATTTGAATTTGTTATAAAGCTGCTTAATTGATGCTTAAATTATAATATTATATTCAAAAAGCAGCAAAAGGATCTTTATTTTCTATGCTTGAGTAAAAATATAATACTTATTTGTTTTAATTTTTATATTCTTGTGAGTGTTCCTGATATGTTCTTACTGAGAAAAGGATAGAAATTTATAATAATCCTTACTTTAATTTCTCTGGTTTATCTAAGCTAAGGATAGTCTCTAATATTAAACTAAACTTTTCTTGATATAAAAAATAGGATTTAAACTTTTAAAATAAAACTTCTTGCAAACTTAATTTTTTAGAATAAAACCATAAATTCTTTGATTTGTTACAATTATTATAAATTTCGAAGTTGTTATTCTTTGAGATTAAATTCTGTAAAAGCAAAATTTAAATTTAAAATTTATTCAACTCTTAAATAGTTAAGCTTGGTCTATAGCAATTTTTTTTAGTTATAAATTTCCCTTGATATATCTAGTGGAAACACCCATTTTAGCAGAGATTTTGAGAAAGATATTTATCAATTTAGATAAGATATTTTGGATAAAGCAAATATTTGAAAGATATGCAAGGTGTTTAAGTTAATTTATAGTTCACAAGAAATATTATTATGAAGTATGAAATCTCATAAATGTCACAGAAGCCTTATTAAACATGAGATCTTTACAGTGAGTTATGAAATTTTATTTATTTAATTGAGCTCTTGACATAAAATAAAACAAAAATCAGATGTAATATATCCCACAACTCTCAAAACCCCATCAAACTCTAATTAACTCACCCTTATACTCCCTCCAAAACTCTCAAAACCTAACATCTCCCCAAAATTTCTTACTTATTTTCTCTATCCCAATTTTCTCATTCTTCTGCTTTCCAGACTCTTTCCTTCTATAACCTCCTTTCTAAAGCATAATTTCCCCTTAAATCCCTCACTTTCTTCAAAAAAGACCACCCACTATATCCCCTATCTCCCTCTTAATTTCCCAATTATTCTTCCTCTATCTCTTCTAAAGCCAAATTTCCCTAAAGTTTTCCAAGCTGGTTTGATAGTAGGCTGTTTTAATGAACTTACTTTTAGAATTTGTGTGGTTGCGTAGGAAACAGAGGTGGTGATGTAATGGGGGGTTCTGTAAGGGATTGGCTAGTGAGGTGGAAGAGGAAGGTTAGAAGGGGAGGTTGAGAGGAGGAAAAGGGAGTTTATGGGAAGAAATTGGGGTCTTGGGATGATGGTGTTGGGAAACAGATTATGATGTTAGTATTGTGGTTAAAATTTAGAATAACTTTACTTCTATTATATTTTCAAGTCAAGAATTGTTACAGTCAACTAATGTCTATAATTTCCTATTCAAGATTTCGTCTCTATTTATTTAAACTACAGCCCAATTATCCTCTCTCAACCTAACTTTCAAAATTCCCTTAAATCTCTACTTAAATCTTAATCCTCAAAATAGTTTGATTCAAAAGCTTTAATCATAAAATTTCCAGCTTGGTGACTTACTGCTTGCGGTGAATTTTGGACGACTGAGCTCTGTTTTTAGATTTGAAGATAAAACTATTGGTGTTTTTGTGAGGAAAGCTGTTTGAAGAGTAATGGTTATTCTGAGTAGAGGCAATAGAAGAGCTAGATTGTTTGTCTTGATAGAGGTTTTGGCGTGGAGCAGAAGAATATGAGAAAACTTGATTGTTTTGAGCATTAAATGTTTTTTGAAGTGGAGGTTTGATAAGTGCTTGAAAGCTTTTCAATATTGTGAGCTTTGCTAACTATTTCTATAATTTCTAAAATGTTAAATTAGACTGACTTTTGTTGACTTCAGTAGTATCTATTTTGCCAGGATTCTTTTCTTTAAATTTATTCAACAACTCCAAAAAATTCTTTGCTCAATCCATCAAATAAACAGCCGATTCATACTCTTGCCTCCCTCTCTCTTCTTCCCTTCTCTTCTCCTCATATCTCTAAAAATAATCCCCAAAACTCACATCATCCCTCTGTATCCCCCTCATTGTTTTCCTAACATCCCACTCCCCCATCCAGGCCCCATGCACCCTCTCCCTTCTTTCCCAACCCCTAACTTTCCTCTGCTCCTTTTTTCCTCTCAAATCGCATGTTCTGCTGCCACTAAAATTCCCTTTTCTATCTTCCCATTCATACCCATCTTCAATATGGTAGTCCAAGACTCCACCAGTTCTATCGTATGGGCTAGAATTTAGAACCTAAATTTGGAGGTTAGGTGAGAACAGAGATGGGTTACATTGGACAATTTTGATAATTTTGACCGGTGCTTTGGGAAAGGGGGTCTTCTGTAGTGGGAGGTTAGGAGTGAAGGAAATTTTTAGGGGATTTGGTATAAAAATGGAGTATTTTTGGGAGGGAAGATTTTTGGAGAGATTTGGTTGGTTTTGTGGGCAAGTTTAGAATATTTAGAGTCTGGAAGGAAAATAGAATGGGTAGGGAAATTATCTAGAACTTGAAATATTAATAGTTTACTAGCAAAGTTAGGATCTCAGCAAATATGTAATTTCGAAATTTTAAAAATTTCTAAAAGTGTGCAATCAAAATAAACTTGCAATCTTGAAAACATAATTTAAACGAGAAATAGTTGTCAATAACTCCATATACTACATTGGACATTCTGTTAATTTAAAATTTCTTTACCCTGGTATTTATCATCCAGCAAAAACATAACATCCCAAGACACCCTTTACCCACCCTAAACTTCTTCCATCTAACTCCACCTCCTAACCCCTCAAACCCCCATTCCCAACCAAAATCCACCCATAATCCCTTCATAACCTTCTCCCCTACCCTCTTCCCCTCCTCCTCTCCCCCAAATCCCTTTAAACCATCTAAAATCCCTCTAATCCCACTTACACTGCGCTGTACCCTCTTCTAGTGCTCATTTTTATTCAGAATAAAATAATTATATGTCGACTATAAATTAGCAGAAGGGGTTTTGGGGTTTTGGGGTTTTGGGG